GACCAACGAGTACTTCTTCGACCGCGACCCGGACATCTTCCGCCACATCCTGAACTTCTACCGGACCGGGAAGCTGCACTACCCGCGGCAGGAGTGCATCTCCGCGTACGACGAGGAGCTCGCGTTCTTCGGGATCATCCCGGAGATCATCGGGGACTGCTGCTACGAGGAGTACAAGGACCGGCGGCGGGAGAACCAGGAGCGGATCCAGGACGACGAGGACATGGATCAGACCAACGACCTGGTCGCGGCGGACCTGAGCTTCCGGGAGACCATGTGGCGCGCCTTTGAGAACCCGCACACCTCCACCATGGCGCTGGTCTTCTACTACGTCACCGGCTTCTTCATCGCGGTGTCGGTTCTGGCCAACGTGGTGGAGACGGTCCCGTGCGGACCGGCGCCGAACCGCGTCAAGGAGGTCTCGTGCGGCGACCGGTACGCGCTGGCCTTCTTCTGCCTGGACACCGCGTGCGTCATGATCTTCACGGTGGAGTACCTACTGCGCCTGCTCGCCGCGCCGAGCCGCTACAAGTTCGTGAAGAGCGTCATGAGCATCATCGACGTGGTGGCCATCATGCCGTACTACATCGGCCTCGTGATGACCGACAACGAGGACGTCAGCGGCGCCTTCGTCACTCTGCGCGTCTTCAGGGTGTTTCGGATTTTCAAGTTCTCGCGGCACTCCGCGGGACTTCGCATCCTGGGCTACACGCTGAAGAGTTGCGCGTCCGAGCTCGGCTTCCTGCTCTTCTCCCTCACCATGGCCATCATCATCTTCGCCACCGTCATGTTCTACGCCGAGAAGGGCTCCAGCGCCAGCAAGTTCACCAGCATCCCGGCCGCCTTCTGGTACACCATCGTCACCATGACGACGCTCGGGTAGGTGATGATGCTGAGTGCGAAGAGTTGTTGGTTTGACGCTTTAATCCCCATTCAGAACTGCCTTTGGATTTATTTAATTTAACAACTTAAGTTTAATTTAAGTTTCTGTCACTTTGAACCAATCAGATGAGTCGGAGCCAGTGGCGGACTCCGCCATTGGCCTGAGCTGCAGTCTGGTTGCTGCTGATTGGTTAAAGTCGGAGTTCTGTCTCAGTTAAGTTCAGATCAGATGTGAAGTCAGTTAGTTTGATCGGGATGAAGTTTAAATCTTTAATCCCCATTCAAAACTCCCTTTGGATTTCTTTTAATTTTAGCAGCAGGAGAAAGATGGCGTGTTTCCTGTGTTTGAGTGTCCTCCATGTTTGTTTGTGATGTTTCCAAAGGAAGTTTCTGTGAGTTTGAACCAATCAGATGAGTCGGAGCCGGTGGCGGACTCCGCCTATTTGAGCTCAAGAAATAAAAAGGGAACCAGCACACAGAAAAACTGTGATGCATTTCTGGTGAAACAGCTTCGTCAGGGTTTGGATTAGCACCCTAGAGGGCAATTAATCATGTTTTATTTACCACGGGGGCATCCAAGAGGCACTTTATGGGTTTCTTTCTAACTTTTGCTGCATTTTCATGAGTCCACCATTGTTCTGTTTCTCTGTTTGATGATGAAGGAAAATCGGATGCAGATTTAAAGCTTTTGTCCCCATTCAAAACTCCCTTTGGATTTTCTGTAATTTTATCAGACACAATCGGATGAGTCGGAGTCGGACTCTCTGATTGGTTTAAACTTTCACTCATTATGTTCTTTCTGTCTCTGTCCGTGGTGCTGAAACTGAAACTGAGCGCGCTCAGACTCACACAAATGGTTTTGTTTCCGTCTGCGTGTGAACATGAGTCTGTTATTGATTATTGGTTATTGATTACAGCAACCGGCCACAATAATGATCATCAATAATGAAGGTTCCACTCACACATCAATACACTGACTGGGTTACAGATGGAAACTGATCCGTTTGATACCAATGCCATCATTGATTCTGATTATTGGTCCCATTATTTATTGATATTCAGTTTTCTGTCTGGAAGAACCGGGTTTACTCAGGGTTTCAGCATTAAAGAAGCTGTTTTATTATTTCTGAGTCTGAAACATCATCAATGAGAGGAATTGATTGGTTCTGATGGTTCTGATGGTTCTGATGGTTCTGCACTGGGAGCAGTTGATTGTCTTTGAGTTTTTTTTAAAAACTGAAAATGTAACCAGAAATTAAATTGATCAGTTTGATCAGTTATTGGTTCAATTTAATATCTTCAGCTTATTGAACGTTTCCCCAAGTTCAACTGAATCAACTCAACTCTAATTTATCACACACACACACACACACACACTCTCTCTCTCTCTCTCACACACACACACACACACACACACACTCACACACTCACTC